ATTAAAGTTGTAATAAATATATTTTTATGATTAATGTATATAAAAAATATAAAAATTAATAATTTTTTAATAATATTAATACTGTAGATATTTTAAATAAAATACTCATTTCACATTCTCTAAAAGTTGTTATTTAACTATAAGAACAAGTATTCGGCTTAATTATTCCATACTAAAAAAATTTTAATTTAAAATCAAAATTAAAAAAATTAAATTCTGGTATAGTTAAGAAATTAACTTTTTTTAATGTACCCTATGACAAATTGTTTCACCTTCTCTAAGAATTGTTGTTTTAACTTTTTTTTTTTTTTTTTTTGGCTGATACCAGAATCCTACCGGTTTTGACATACGACCATCCCAGAAGCAACCAAGCCGCGGCCTTACCAGTAATACACCTACACCTGCAAAGGTTAATGGCTATAAACAAGGAACGTATACTTAATTAACACTGAATTTTCAACATTAGAACATTTATATACACGTATATACTTGAAAAAAATAGTAACGCTGGACCAAGTTAATACCATGCACTTGTCACACCTACACCTGGGGTATATATATCCTCCACCATAACGTAACCATCTGACCGGAATTTGATTCATATCCACTGCCAGCATTCCCTCCACCATGGTAATCCATACCCCTATTGAAGGAGCCCTCCCTTTTTTTTAAATCACGCCCGTCAAAACGCCCTCCTCCAGATTGTCGATTTTGTTTCCACCATAAGAAGCCCGTGACGAAAAACGAGTGAGCCAGACAGGTACTTCTTGATTTGCCTCTTGCATTAGATCAGCTAATGGCATTGCCAATGACAAATTGTTCTCATTAAAGAAAGCTGTAGGCGGCTATGTTTTGCCAGCACACCCTGACCGTCCTATTCGGTGGATATAATCATCGATAAGATCAAAGTTGACAACATGAGGTATATCAAGACCACGAGCGTCCACGTCTGTTGCAACCAAATTACAAACTTCACTAGCTTGTGTAAGAAATACTGAAAGAAAGGCATTATGCTTTATTATTATTTTGTGTTATTAAAATAAACACATAAGTAGCCTTTATATCAGCATTGGTAATCCATTGACTATATAACCTAGAAATCCTAAATCAGTTTACCATAATAACATAAATCAACTCTAAAGTCTTCTATCTTAATTGACTTTGACACTACTATTTCATATCTCATATCTTTTGTTGTTTTTAACATTCCCTCAAACTCGAGATAATTTTACCACTTTCAAACTACCCATCCTTCTCACTTTTGCTAAAATAATTTAGCTAATAATAATGAAATTTTATCTAATGGGTAAGATAGAGGCTTTAATCCTCAAGGTTTCAATTTATTAGTTTAGTAAATCATTGTGATTTATCTAAATAAAAAATGATAATATGATTAATTGACTACTAGTTTGCTAATAGAAGAGAAATCCCCATCATGCATCTATAGTCTGTCACAAAAAGTTTTTTGAAGCAAGAATTAGAGTGAAATTAAAATATAGAATGAATCTTGAAAGTAGATCCATAATTTTTTACAAAAGAAGTTAGCTCTATAATCCAACGTGGGCAGTTCTGAAAGTGTCTAACGTGTGCATACTTAGCCCATCCATGCTCCAGTACTCGATTGATGAGTAGCTAAGAAGATAAACAGGTGAACAATTCTGCATTGCAGAACTTCTTGTTGCCAAGCTCTCTAACAAAGAAGGGCATTAAGGGGGAATTGAGAGCATAGGAAGAGTTCAAATTGGAGATTTGGCTCAGTGATATGACATGTTCTTTTCCTTAATAAGAGTCAACTTAGGCTCTTATTTTATTTTTGGTTGTGTAAAAAGAGATAACCCTATCCTATACACTCCTAGTCCAAATCCAAGACCTTAACTTCATTTGGAAGAAGATTACCACTTAAATCACTTTGTTTGTTGGCCAGAAACAAGTAGTTGCTCCATTGATTCTCTCTAGTTGTTCATTGATATCAAAGGCATCCAACTTATCATTTCCGAGATCATACCAAAGAAGGCAGCATCCAGAATCTAGCAATACTTTATTACCATTCCTTGAGAAAGAAAGAGGCCTCATGTGTTGATAGGCAAATACTTCCCTGTTGAGAATTGAGATCCGAAAGATATTAATTAGTCCAAGACTCCTGCACCATATACTCCTCCATCACCCATATATCAACAGCATCATTTTTTGGGTGTGTCACGGTAAGGTAGCCTCCAAGGGCTCCCAACACAGTTGCTTTCGTCTTCTCTGGCAACTCAATCTGATGAAACTCCTCAGTGGTGAGATCAAAAGCAAAGACAAAAGGGGATGTTTTGTACATGTAATTCCAATGTGCCACCCAATGTAGGGCACTGCTAACGAACGCTGCTTTTGTAGTGCTAAACCAACTCTCATAGATGTAAGGAACAGAACTTCTGCTTGCCCTTTAAGGGCTTTGCCAGGTATTTTTTCTGAAGCTATAAACTCTGATATCATGTTCGGTCGGTCGGTCTTTTTTCTCGTTGGTGCACGTGCTTTCTTTCCCTTTGTTTGTATTGATCATTTCCAGGATCATAACCGAATCCATATAGAAGAAATTTACGAGCTTTGGAATAAGATTTTGGGATTATATATTCAGGCCTTTGGGTAATTACCTGGTAATCTCCAAGAAATTTGTTCCACAGAATGATGCTGAAATATGTGGCAAAGAGAATCAAGCCATTGCATGAACCTCTTAGAATTACTGTGGATCCATCCAAAATTCCACCGGTAAATGGTGCTCTTCCAAGCAATCTGGTGAATTCAGATCTTCAGAGTAGAAGGTGTAATTGGTGCGATTGTTGAGAATAATGAGTTTGGGCTCTCTCCTCTTGATTTCTTCAATAATTATGGAACAACATGGTTTGGAGATACTCTTGAACCGATGTAGACTTTTCATATCGGATGATAGAGCAATTATGTCTCTAATCAAATCATCCGGTAATTCCTTAGCCTTGCCATTTCCATTGTAACTCTGCACATTTAACCAAAAAAAAAAAACCAGAATCGGAAATGGTGAATACAAAAAACAAACGGCGTCGTGATAAAGGAGAAGAAGACGAGATATTTCCTGATCTAAAGTGCCAAAAACAACCAAATGAAGAACGGAAGAGACAGATCTAAAGCCGGACCCTAAAAAAAAAATACAAAATCACTCAACCGGCAGCAAGCAAAGCTCCGAAAGCTCCAGAAAACGAAGAAACTTTGGTTGTACGGTTGAATGATAGCAGCAAACAGCAACAACTTAACATCAGCACATTATATAGAGAACGCATTATACAGAGAACCCCTTATTTGACTATAAAGCCCATAAAATCCCTAAACTTGTTTAAATTGCGCAAAGCAGTCCCTGTAGTTGAATAAAAAATCATCAAAATCCCTAAAACTTGAAATTGATAAAAAAAAAAAACCATTATCGTTTTTTTTACATAAAGTATACAACAAAAAATAATTCTTTTCTTCCTAAACTTTTTCATATGAAAATTTAAATTTTTAAACATTAGACTATCTTTTAGGGTATAACATTATCCCTTCATGAGCAGTATAGTATTACCCCTTTATGAAGGGATGTTATTACCATTTTGGATAGAGGGAACTTGTACTAACATAGGGACCTATTATTTAAATGATGAAATTACTTAATTGAATTTAATTTAATTTAATTATTAAAAATAATTAATAACTAATAATTTATATTTATTATTTAATAAAATAAAATTAATTTATAAATTAATATTTTTAAATATTATAATTAATTATTAAAAATATTAATAAAATGTAATTGTATATTAAAAATATAATTTGATTATTAAAATTATTAAAATATTTCAAATAAAACTTTTTCTTATGTTTATATATTAAAAATAACTTAATAATTTTAATGTTACAATTATATTTTTTATGTATAATCCAAACTGAAATTTATTAAACTCATAAAACAAAGTAACTATTTTGTTAACGACATGCCAAGGTACGGAGAGCAGCGAAAATTCGATCTCACCAAAATCAATACCCCTATCGGGAAAGAAGAATTGATGTGGAATTTAATGTGAAAAATCAAAACTTTATCTGCAAAAGACAAAGCTTTAGATAGATTGAGGAGGAAAGTAGAAGACTAAGCCCCTGTTTGCATTGGTGAATTTGGAGGGGGAGTGGAGGAGCAAGGAGCAGATATCTCCTCTTTTTTTTCCGTTTGCTTTTTTTTATTAACTGAGAGGGAGAAAGACGAAGGAGTAAGAAAACTCTTTTCACTCTTTTATTTTTCATCTTTTCAAATTAAAGAAATTAAGAAAGATTTAATTTATATATTTAATACTTTTAATATTTTTAAAAAATAAATATATAAAAATATTTTATTTTAATTAATAAATTTGAAATATTTTATTTTATTTTACTTTAAATTATTTCATTAAATAA